TTCCTCAGCACTTCATGTTAAACAGCAAATAACTGAAATTGTGCCGAACCTGCTCAGCGTGTTTAAAAGGAGAGAAATGTTAAAGTGCAGGGTATTTGTGTGTGTGTGTGGGGGGGGGTTAGGTTGTAGCCGTGTTGGTCTAAGGACATAGGCAGACAAGGTTCCTTGGGTGAATTTGATATCTTTTATTACACCAACCCAAATAGTTGGAGAATATTTATTAAGCAAGCTTTCGGGTTCAAAAACCCTTTGCCAGGCTAAGGAAGTTTCAGCAGTTGGTGTGTGCTCTTCCTGGATGGTATTTAAGCATGCAGTTGATTTTGAAATCTGAAGCACTAGACTTTGTTTGCTGTGGTTCAGAAAAATGTATCCAGCTAAGCTACATGTTTTGGGTAGGTGGAATAGCACCCAGTCTGAAGCTGATGTCGCAGAGAGAGCTTCATTATTTTGGATTTACTTACTGGAGCACCCAAGCAGCCATTTGTGTGGTAAATATTTCAAACATGCATTTATGATGAATACATGTATTTTAATGAAAGCCTGAACAAGCAGCATCACGCAGAAGCTGCCATTGAATAATATTGGCCCTTGCTTAACAACCACATCTTAAAGCAGGGGTGGGCAATTATTTTGGGCAGAGGGCTGCTTACTGAGTTTTGGTAAGCCATTGAAGGCTGCATGACAGGCAGACCAGGGCAGATAAATATTAATTTTCTAAATATTTAGGTGCCCTGCAGGCCGGATAGAATGGCCTGGCAGGCTGCATCCGGCCCCCAGGCCGCATTTTGCCCACCCCTGGCTTAAAGGTAGAGAGACGCAGTAATGAAACAAAACTTGATCCTTCTGAACAAAGATGGTACTGAAGGGAGAAGAAATGACAATGCTGTTTATTGGAAAAGTAAATATATATCAATTCCCAATTTAAGCAGCAACTTTCTCTTGGGATCGCTTTAGAGAAAGATGAGCAGTTCCTTTTCTTTGCAGACTTCTTAGTACTGTGCCAAATTAACACCAACAAATTAATTTTATTTGCACTGACAATACTTTGGAATAAAAGGAAGAACATCAAGTAGCAATATTAAGTGACTTTAATCTTTACAGCTTGTTCTACACTTGTGCTATGGAATTATTTAAAAACAGCATCCATGATATGTCTGTTTGCCTTCTGCAGTTAAGGTCAAGCAATAAATGGTGCACTTAGGCTCAGGCCTGAGTGTTCCTAAAAAAACCCCCTACAACTCAAAAACCACAAATTAAGGGGGCGCTGGGTGACAGACCTATGTGAGCAAGTTATTCACTCCGATCCTTGGGTTCTCTATACTTCCACTGGATGTAGTCAAAAATGTCTTCTTCGCTATCCACTGGCAGGGCTTCTCCAGCAATGCCTACAAGCACAATACAGAATGACAGTAACTAGGCAAGGTGTTACAGGAGTAAGAATCTCAGTGTGAACAGAGCAGCGTTAGAATGAAGTCTGATTGCCAAGCAGCTGTGGAAAGAAATGGAAGTGCTAACCTTTTTCCTTTCATGCAATAAGGGGCAAAATGTCCTGCTGTAAAGCACCAAGGGGCCAGGTCCAGAGGTGGATTTGAGTGCCTAACTCCTCCTGCTCTTAACATGTGAACAATTTTGTCACAAACCAAATGAAGAAGTCAGATAGCTTTGTAACAGCTCCTGAAAAAGGATGCCTGTCTTGCACAGCACTTAAAGACCAGGTCTTCTGTACACTCACAAAACTCCACTTGACAGAATTAAGGTGGCCCAGAATGGAAATATTGTGTGACAGCATGACTGGGGATAAGGAAGGTTTCTGATGACAGAGTTAGATGCTACATTGAGTTAACTGTAATACTGATTGAAGCAAACGGATGTATCATTGTTTGTAGAGGTCTCTCCAGACCATGGTGGGACTAGAAAGAGCGCTCAAGTGTGGAAGCCAGACTCACCAGTGACTCCCAAGGGACGGATTGTGTACTCATTGATTGTGAAGCCCATTTCCAGGGCACGGGTTCTCATGTTTTTGTTGAATATATCACTGCCCGTGAAGTACAGTACGCCACAGTAATACTGATCTTTGGGAATCAGCCTAGGGTAAAAGATCAGAGAGAATACTCTTAGGACAAAAGTTTGCTATCTAGCCAATGCATAGTTTCCCAAGACTCACTGCCTGTTGCAGCGAACCTTAAAGCTTTTGCAGGCATTACAGCAGGGGTGGGCAAAATGCATCCCGCCAGACCATTCTATCTGGCCTTCAGGGCCTCTAAACATTTAGAAAATATTTATCTGACCCTGGTTGCCTGTCATGCAACCCTTGATGGCTTGCCAAAACTCAGTAAGGGGCCCTCTGCCCAAAATAATTGCCTGTCCCTGCATTACAGTGTGAAACTTTAAATATTTGTTGAACGCAGCTGTGGGTGGAATGCATGTTTCTGAAAATCCAGCCTACCAGAACACCCACAAGCAGTCAGGTCCAACTACCCTTTCCCACGAACTACAGCTATTCAGCCATTCTGTGGTTGCAGTGCGGTATGCACTGACAAACATTCCCGCTCAAGCTCTCTGGGAAGGAAGAATTATCATGCCAGTCCCTGCCCTGGAGATGGAGGAATAGGGGTATTTATTTTTCAGTCATGAGCTGGAACACACTGCTCTCAAAAATGCCCCATGACAGGAGGAAGCGGAATCATTCCCAATTCTGGAGGACAAGGGGGTACAAAATGCAGAATTTTAAACCATCTGTTTTATTCTATACCAGGAATTTACTCTCCTGTGGGTTTACCTGATGTCAATTCTTCTGTATGGATAGGTGGTTCCATCTTCTTTGTTTGGCAGCTGACACACCCCCTTAATGGACAGAAAGAAAGCAGACATTTAAAATGAGATGGAAAAGTTGTGCAGAGCCTCTACTTTTAAATGCAGGCACTAAAATTTGTGCAGCTATGTAGTCACATGCCGCCTCTTGTGAATAATGGGTTTTTGCTGGTTAAACTTTAATCATTTGAAGTTATGCTCCTAGCTAATCACCTCGAGAAAGCTACTACAGAGCAAAAGAATTGCAGTCAAGGGAAAAAATGCCAGGACAACTAAGCTTCCAGTATCCCTTTGATTTCTCCAGTCAGGGCTGCATTTGATACAGAACATGTGAAATCCACTTACCTTCCTACAAAGCACACAATCTGCACTTCTGGTTATGAGAAGAGAGATCTCTGTTCTAACCTAAACCACAAGGTGAACCCATTTGATTTTACTTGTTAGGTCTCTTCATTTCTCTGAATGGAGCTGTGTACCCATGTGTGTTATCTAGCTCAGTAGTGAGGCCAAGGAAGCCATCAACCTGGACTCCCCTGTGCTGTACAGAGATGAGCGCACACATGTTTTTTGATTTGCCTTATTTCAAGTGGAAAAAGGGTTTTGCTGACTGACAAAACCTGCCCGCTGTACCACTCTCAAGTAAGTTGCAAAAATAGCTGTTTGCATTCTTCCATGACTTACCCGAGTGCAGCAGTTTAGTAAGAACTTCTGTTCAATGGTGGCAATAAGGAAACCTTGGGTTCACAAAAGCTTGTGCTCCCTCTCTCTATAATTTAGTTAGTCTCTAAAGATGCATTTCTACCCTGCTTTCAGTTAGGAGAAGCCAGCTTCTTGCTGTTTGGGCATGTAGAATCCCTTCTCCAGATGCCTGGCTTCTGGCCTTTGGATACTCCAACTAGTTTGGCCAGCAAGAAGTTGACATGTCCAGTAAAACCAGGAGCAAGATTAAATTCAGCAGTTTGGCAGGAATGTCCTACAAGAAGGCCTTGATATAAATGATCCAAATAATAATGTCACAATTTTGCCATGAGAATGCTAGTAACAGTGAGTCAGAAGGGTAAGGATGTGTTTGCACCTTATTGACCAACTAAATCAGGCATACAGCATAAGGTTTCATAAGCAGAGGGTTTCCTAAGAAATTGATGAAGAGTGACATAACCAAAAGAATCAGAGACAGTTGTCCTATATTAGATATATTTGCTAAATTTATAAATATGCTTATTGTTTATTTGTATATACGTATTTATAAATAAAATAAGAATGTAAAAGGCTAAATATGCCCTAGAAAGTCATAAGGTAAAAAGAAAACAGAAAAAATGCATTTCTGTCACGCAAATGTACTTTTAGATTTCTCTTATGTTACAGTTCCTAGCACTAAAGTGTTACGAGCCAGTTACTACATAAACCTGTTGCACACCCCACACAGTTCCCATGCATCAGTAAGGTTATGCTCTTCACCTGAAACAAAAAAAATCCTCACCATGAACTTGGTGTCTCCTTTAGACAGTGTGTCTGTGATGAAATGGACTTTTTCCAGTTGTTCTACAACTTGATGCAGGAGTTTTGGCTGGCAAGCATGTCAAAGCAAAAGAAAACCACTTGACAGGTTAAAGGTGGATCCTGAGTGTTTTCCCAGCAACACTTGCGTATATACAGTATGTCCAGGTATCTGATCTTTAACTGGCAGAACATAATTTTTCAGAATGAGAGGGAGGCATTGGGGAAAACTAAAAATAAAATTATTATAACTAATGTAAAATAGTCTACAGAAAAAGTATACTTTTTAAGCCTCTGTTATTAGAGAAAACAGAATGTAAAGTTCTTTCATTAGATTTGGTTTTAAAGAAAATGGACCATTTTTAATGTTATTTCTTGCCTTTTGTGGGTTAAGTGTTTCTATAGGTCCAAGGGACCTTGCTCTAACTTTGAAATATTCTGTAAAACCCCGTGGCTATTTTGTAGTGTAAACTAAAACATATTCTGACTTGTTTTCTACCCAGTGGTCCCAGGCACACACTTTCCTAGTTCCCTTTTAGTGAAGGTAAGCAATGTTTTTTTGTTAAGTACGTGACGGGTGTGGTAATCTCTCCCAGTGCAACAGAAAACTTTTAACATTTAGACTTTAAGTAACAGCAAGTGTTTATTTTAATAAGACCCAGGCTACATTAACAGTGCCCTTGTCCCCTGTTGAACCTCTGTTCTCAGTATTAATTTTGCTGGTCAGAGAAGGGAGACATCAACACACAGGTTTCTGATAAACCGGGGAAATTTGCTTCTCAAGTCTTATATCTGTCAATTCTACTTGAACTGTATAACCTGTCTGTAGAAATTAGTATCTCTGGAACCAAGTGTCTTGGGTTCTGTACAATTAGTCTCAGTGACAAGGTATCATGATGCTGCTGGTAGGTAAGTTATTTGGTTTTTAGTCTGCCCTTTTAAAAGGCTTGTAGTTTCAGATACCATCCACTGTAAGCATCTTGGCAGACAAGAGTTTTCCATTTTAACATCCCAAACGCTTTGTGCAAAGGTGGCTATTTTTGGTGGAAAAACTACAAAAGCCGGTCTCTTCAGCTAGCAGATTTAGTTTTAAGGTGGGTGAGACACTTGCAGCAGACTAGCTGCAAGAAAACAAATCAGGATTACTTTTAAGTGCTCTAGTAACATCCAACTAGTTTTAAAAAAACAACAAAAAATTACCATGCACGTTGCACTGAACAAGCAGCTGCCTGGTTATCCTTTCTCTAGGCTTTGGCCATGCCATGTCCTTCCAGCAAAGGACTGTGAAGCAGTTCTGCAATATTAGGCGAGAGGGAATTTTCCTGCTGACAGACAGGGACTGACCACTATTTTACTGGTGCTCTGGGGAGTAAGACACTGACAGGAATGTTAAAACCTACAATGGTGAAGACTCCACCATTTAAGTAATCTGTACCAATCCCTAATCTGGCACATAGTGGCAAAATTCTTCCTAATATTAGTCTTATTCATTCTTCTTACTTAGAGTTAAGTCACATTAGTTCGTATGTGGTTCCCATGGACAAAGGACTGATGGTCAAATATGCTTGTTTTGGAGAAAAACTGGCACCTGTTTTGCTGATTCAGAAGTGAAGTCTGGATGAGTCAGGAGAATGTCCATATCCCCACTTGATTCTGCACCTGGGAAAATAAAGAGTGAAGGAAAGTACTTGCTTGTAAGTGTTGGCAGCAGGTAAGAATGGACTGTGGGAACCAATGGAAGCTTTGCACTTGAATCCAAGAGCAAATGAAGGGAAGAGTATATCCCTTTTGTTCACAGAATAGTTATTAACAGTGCAGCCTCTGTTTTGCATCTACCCTAATGTGGAAGGATTATTGCTGGAGCACAGCAGATTGTGTCCTGGGTCCTTTTGAAATGACTGCCCAGTTAGTGCCAACCGTGGCAGTTACCTGCACTACACGGATACTTTTTTACTGGGTACTGAGTCAAGAGCATTCAGCATAAACCAACCACGATGGTTTGTAGCATGTAATCAACTAGCTAAAGTGCTTTCATAACATTGTAGAAGTGTCGTGAACTTTACACGGAGAAATAGTCTACAGGTCACAGTCAGTAAGCTCCAGCCCCTACCACTGGGGGGGAAAAAAGGGAGTGTGGAGCACTAACCTCGCCTGAAACTGCCACAGACTGTAGCAATATATCTAGGGTCCAGTTTCTTTACCTCTATAAATACGGTTTCCTATTTAAAAAAGAAAAACAGAATTAAGTCATTTGAATGGCCCTCTTTGGCTATTTTTTGCATTGCTTCTTTGGGGAAGGATGTTTTACCTGCATTTGTAACATTTCTTCTCTGGGGATTCTTTTCTCAAAGTCCTCAAAATACCTGCATGTACAAAGGATAAGTGTTTTGTATAGCAGGAAGCTATTAGAACGGTAGCCATGCATGATCTATTTTTAAATCTTGCCTTCCTATTGTTCAAGTTCCCCCCCACCCCGCAATGGTATAGACAGTGGCAGACTAATGACTGCAGGATTCCCTCGGCTGGTCTCATGCTCCTTAGAAGTTGCCCTTGCTATCCTTTGCATACAACACAATTTAAAGCTGGGAAGAGGCAGGAACTGGGGATTTTTGTGGTAGATAGCCACTGCCGCTTAAAAGAAGAAACTGGCCTTGGGATGTGTATATGGAAGGCAAGCAACAATGTCCAAGAAATGATGCTTACTTTAGCCCAATTCGCTGATGATGGTTCAGCTTGTGTTCATTTTTCCTTAGATCTAGAAGAAGCCGGACACAAAGATCACTTGCAAAGGAAAGTACTTGAGGAAACAGAAAGCTGCATGGTAAGGCAGGTTCATTTAGAGATTGTTTAAAGAATAGCGGCTTTAGAGAGCGACGTAAAGGATAAGATTCTGCATTGTGTTAACAAGCCATGGCAGCCCCCTCAAGCTGCAGGGAGCAGCATACCAGGTGACACCCCCAGCAGCAGTACATGGAGGGAAGCACAAAGCCAGCTTCAGAGACAGTTCTCTCCTGGCTCAGAGCTCCTCCGCCCTTGTGCCCTAAAATATCCCTCTTCCCTGCAAGGGCATGGATTGGGGACACAGCTCTACTCCTCAAAACAACACATCTTGGCAAGTACAAAGCTGCTAAATGTCAGCTGGGGAGGAGTCATCAGCCTTAAGTAAGGCACTGCCTAAGGCACCCTGACTCATCTTTGCATTACCACACCCTGCGCTGCACTTGCTGAAGCAAAAGGGGTGCTCAAGTCACCTGTCTGCCTGACTGGTCTCAGACTTACCTGGTTCCTGAAGCAGGCTGGTTGGTACATGCACTGCCCTGGACTCTCGAACAAGATTTCAGGCCTGGGTGCATTGCTTGGAAAACTTAACAGAATTGTTGGGGCTGGAAGGGACCTCTTGGACCACCTAGTGTGACCCTCTGCACGAATGTACTATCTCCCCCTTGATACTACATATGCAGAGCACATCTTCTATGTACCGACTTAAGCATCTGAATGCCTCTCTCTAGCCACACTGTTGCTATCACTTATCACTCTGCAGAGGGCAGGTTGTTCACATCATAAATTGCAGGTCTTTCCAAAGTATCTACCACGCAATCAGGGAGATGCGCAGTACAGACTCACCTTCTAGTGTCTTAATTCCTTCATCCACAAACTTCCTGGCAGCCGCAGGACTGAAGAGAGAGAGGACAGCAAAGCACACACAGCATATGCGAGATTGATGCAGCATGCCTGAGCTTGCTGTTTGCCTCTGTGTCCGCCCAAGCCAGTATCGAAACCACCCCTCAGTCAGATTTTGGCACATAATGCCTGTCTGCAATGCTGTGCTTCCAAAAGCAGGTGGCTCTCTAGGAGTTAACATTTTACCTGTGCTAGCTAAGAAACTCATGGGAAAAGGATATCCTGGATATGAACCATTTCGTACGGGTAGGTCAGTTCCATAAAACATACAGAAAGAAGTACACAAGGAAAAAATCCTTACCCAATGCCACTAACTCGGGTCAGGAAATTGATAGAAGAGCTTGTGTCATCTTGTCGGATCTAGAGACAGATATTTCTCATTCACTTGCAAGGCCATGGTAAGCCGAGGTACCTCAGCAAGTTACTGCACTCAAGGTTTGTTACAGTTCAGAGCAAAAAGACGACATTACCTACAGGCGTGCTGCAGTTCACTCAGATCTACATGGAAGGGACCTCAACACGGTGTTCAGAGGGGAGAGCCCGCATGTCAGAATATATTTCCTTCTTGGGCTTGACAATGAATTTATCAAAAATTGGGGGACCGTGTAAAGCCTTAGCTAGAGATGGAAAATCTGACAACGGTTTTAGTTTGGTACAGGGGAGGAAGGGCAATAGGTTGTTAATTTTTGCTGTGCCCTGTAGTGGCAAAATACTACTTAGCCTTATAATATTTTATTATTTGGCGAACTCTCAGGCTTCATAATGTGCATTACTACATACATGGATAGATGGAGTTAGGTTTTAAGTGCACTGGAAGATTTGGGACAGCCCAAGTCTGGAACAAAGCAGCTGCCTGATTCGCTTCATCTCAGGACTAGGGTGACAAAGGTATCGCAGGAAGCGTCTACGTCAGACAAGTGCCTCACGCATTTGGTGGCAGTAAAAGCTGATCACACCCCATGGTGGTCCCAGAGACACTAGGTTTTCTCTGCCTGCTCTTTTTACCCATTCCCTTCCTGCTCTCATTCTCTCCAGGGGCCGTCTGAAGCTTGCCTGGTGTAAGCAGGAGCTCATGCGGAGGAGGGAAAATAAGCGTCAGACAGAATAAACCAACAGGGCTGACCTTTTCCAGCTTGCGTAGCTTTCCAGTGGCTAAAAACTCATCTATCTTCTCCGCTATTTTGGCCCCGACTCCTTCCTGCAAAGCAAGGGGCAGGGGGAAGGAAAAAAGGCCCGTTTTGATTTTAGCGCCGGCGGGCGACAGAAGGGTCCGGCAGGCGTCAAAGCCTCGCAGCAGCACCAGACAGCGGGAGTTGTGATCTGACCATCAGCCACCGCAGCGCGCCTGGAGCAAAGAGGCACCAAAGAGCCCAGTGCAGGCTTAATCCCGTAGGCGAGGGGCACGCGCAGGGACAGCAGGTGGGGCGGCCGCCCCAGGGCGCAGACACCTACCAGTTTCTTGGCCTCGGCACCACTGCGGATCTTGCTGGGGTACTTGGCGATGGCGGAGGCCGCCTTCCTGCAGGGAAGCAGATTGCTGAGGAGCGGCCCGGCCCCCGCACCCCACCCCGGCCCGGCCCGGCCCGGCCCGGTCCGGCCGCACTCACCGGTACGCGTTGTACTTGTGCACGGCGCGGCTCACGTTGCGCTCGTAGTTGGGCAGCTCTGCGGGACCGAGCGGCACCGTCA